TCAGAGACCCTGTGAGATTCTGATCAGAAGGGCAGCTGCTTGGGGGTCCAGTGGGGGCAGAAGCCATCCCTCTCTCCCACACTTACACCACTTTTGTACAGAATCTATACAATTCCTTGACCTCCAGGATCAGAGGTTTTAGTGGAGTAGAACTCAAAGTCTGCTCCCATGATCAGCCCACCAGCACCCCGGAATTTGTTAGAAATGCAAATCCCCTGGCCCACCACAGTAAAATCAGAAACTCTAGGGGTAGGGCCCAGTAATTTGGCTTTTAAGAAGTCCTCCTGGCCATTCTGATGTAAACATGCTGGAATTTGTCTGCAAAATTTAATGAGACACTTACTTCCAGGTTTATGTAAATTCAGGGTCCACAGGTGTATGAACCAGGAAATAAGGACTGCCTTAAAGTCTGTGCCTGGCATATCAATCACATACTTTCTTTATCTTACCCAGGCCCCGAGAACCAATGCTTTCCTTATCCTATCCAGGCCCTGAGAACCAAAGACTGCAACCCTGGCACCCAAATTGATGGGCATTTTCCTAATGGGTGGTTGTTGGTGGCCCAGAGGAACAGCTTCTCTGAACAAGTGGAAATCAAAGTGCAAAGGCACTGACTTGAGGGCACATATGAGGTATATCTATGGGGATCCACCCCAGAAGCTATAGGGATCACTTGGCCATGGTGGGCTGGAGGAATTTCAGAGGGAGACCTGAGCCTTCTCCTTTCCCCATGGAATCTAGAGAGCTAGCAAACCTTTGGCTATGGGAATTAACATGGAGAACATGTACTGAGTAGCTACTGCTTGCTAGACATGCAGCTGAGCACCTGATTTCTCACACTGTCTCATTTAACTCTCATTGCAAAGGTAGGTTTTATGATCTTAGTTTTGCAAAAGAAGAAACAGAAACAAAAAGGTTAAATAATATGTATCATATCTCAAACTGATAAGTAGTAGACTGGGAATTAAACACATTCTATCACCTCTCAAATTTGCTGCCACCTGCACTGAGATTAATGAATTCTCCTAGGTGTGACTTCCACCTGCCCCCACCTCAGACAGTGGCCCTGTTTGCTCCTCTAAGTTTGGCTTCACACCTTGGATCCAGTCTCCCAATCAAATCTGTAGACAACATTGGGTGTTACGCTTCTCCTACCCTGGACTTTGGACTCAGCAAGACTGGGCATGGCTCCTCTAACTGACTTTGTAGATCTTTCGACAAAAATCCTGGGGAGAGGAACTTCCTGACCTGGACCACCAGGACTTACTTCACTCAGACCCCGCCTGACCCTGCATACCACTTTGAGTGTCCCCCTTCTAAATGAAATCTCATAGGGTACCTAATGTTTACAAAGAATTTAATATACTGATTATCCCTGAAAAACTTTTCTGTGGTTAGACAGAAGATGGGGTTGCTTGTGTAGGAGCCACAGACACATAATGCCTGCCATTTCCAGGTCAGTGCCTTTTGGGTGGAAGTATAAGGGAGAGAACCTGACGGTGTTCAACTCTGAGCCACAACTTTAATCCTGTGACCGTGGAAAAAATGACACATGTCTCCAGGTCTTAGTTTACCCTCTTTAAAAAAAAATTGAGACACTGATAGCGATGTACTACAGGATTTCTGCTGCTCTTACCACCTCTTACACTACCTAAGTATATACATAAGACTGCCCAACTCATTTAGTCAATACCTATCTATGGGTTTGAGTACCTGAGGGTATGATAAAGCTGTTCATGGAATGAAGCATTTATTGAGGGTGACTTTGTTCTATGTAGTTTAGAATATCATGTCTTGCCAAGAGGGTTGCAAGAGATAAGTGCAGGGGTCTAGGGTGTAGAAAATGTGAGGTTGAAGATTCAGCCCACAGAGGAGGGATACTACATGAACATCATATTTTAGAGGTTTAGAAAGACTATTGAAAGTGTGTGGGATCTGCTAGGAATGCTCTGTCTTGTGCCAAATGTGATTCCTAAAAGGGTGCTCTACCTCTTTCTCCTAACTCACCCTTGGACAGGCACTGGGCAGTTCTACAGATGGAGCCTCCTAAAGCCAGCCCTCTTTGCTGCCCAACTGGGGGCCAGGCCAATTTCTCCACTTCCTTTCTTCCCTGAGACCAGAAGACTTGGTAATTTGCCCATCATTGAAATACAAATTGTTAGTTTAGATTCCTTAATTCCTGAGAAGGGATCCTACCAGCTGTTACCAGCATTGTCTCATGGCTGGTTTGTGAATTTGTTCAGGATGGGCAGCAGAAGCACCATCTCAAAGGCAACCTGCTTAAGGGACCCCCACTAGAGGAAGCTTTCAAATTTTGGAACGTCTGCGCCTCTTCTGTGAATACTACCTTGGTTTTCCCACAGTGACTGGTACTGAGAGCCTTAAAAGACACTAAGAGGGCAGGGTTCCTCTGGCCAGCCAGGTCAGCTCGCTCTGAGGGAGACAGAGGGGTGGGACAGGTAACCACAGAGAGGCCAGTAAGGAGGCTTGGGTCTCTATAGCCTAAGAGGAAGGGGCAGAGAATTGAGTCTGGGAGAGAAGAGACTCTTAGGTCAGATGAAAGGCTGTTCTTCTTGGACTTCCCAGATGGAGCACAGTTAAGAAAAAAACACAGCCAGGAGAAAACACACACACACACACACACACAGCCAGGCTTCTCCACCCCAACCTCTTCCACCACACACCACCCTATCCCCAAGTGGCAAGCTCCCTCTAGACAAAGACTTTGCATTTGCCCTTAAATCAACTTCAATTGGCCAACACATTAAAAATAAAACACACAACTTAGAACCCACCTGCTTTTCTAACTCCTGCCCCTCTCCAACAAATGTTAAATACAAGTTCAAGAAACAATTAATCAAGCAAAGCCTTTTACCACAGTATCCACTTCTGTTAGAGGCGCTGTCTGGTAAATCAAGAAAAACGTACCATTTACTCACTAAACTAAACACAATCCCTTATTATACAATTAACCAAAACACAATTGTATGTAATACAATTATACGGACTACAATTACACAAAAGTAATGATGCAGTATAGATGGCAATGACTTTCATGTAATCGAAAATAATGAGAGCATCCTTGATTAGAAATTAAGGTATCATAAGAGATCCCTATTGATAAATGTTCCCTCTATTGAACTCCACTTTGCAAAAGGCTCTGCTGGCTGATGAAGTTGGATGCTTCCCCCTCGTTGTTAATAAAGACTATAGGGGTGGCAACCATTCTGTGTAGTATCTTTTATTCTGAAGTCTCTAAGCTAGCACATTCTAATGAAGCACACATTTTATTACCCACTTTTCCAGCTGGTCAAATAGAAAAAAAAAATAAAGTAGAAGAGCCAAGAAGTCTGTGTGATTTGTTGAGGATCCCATGTGTAGTGGTATTAACAGAAAAACATGCACATAAAGCTCCATCAAATTATATTGGTCATTCCGAGCATCGGAGGGGACTACAACCTGCAGAGCTGATTTCTGTGCTGCTCAGGAGAGGCACCTGCTACTTCTCATCATTGCTCCCCTGGACAGGGGCAGTTACCTTCCCAGCTCTGGGCTGGTTCTCTTTTAATCCGTCCTTCTTACTTTTTCCTGAGTACTCTTTCTAGGAAGCACGTCTTATACCTTCCTTCCTGATTCTCACCTAGCACATGAGGCCGCATCCCACAGGCACACAAATTTCTTCATAGTTGCTACTGGACCCCATCTCTAACCATATTCACACCACATACTCCACAACATTGACCTTCCATCTCCACTGAGCTATATTTTATTGACTCTAAGACAGTCTTCATTGTAAGACATACCATTATTTTATATGCCACTAAGAAAGAAATGTTGCTGATTGAACAATGATACATCAATTATAAAATTCATCCCAATATTAGAGATTTTAAAATGAAAAACCAGCATCTTGAATTGATGAAATACTTGCCAGCCATGATTTCTCTTATTTCTCTGCCATTTCTGACACTGCATGCAGAGAACTTATCCAGAGAACAAGTTCTGCTTGTTCTTTAAGATCCAGCTCAGCACCACTTCCTAAAAACCTTCTTGACCTCACTCTCCCTAGGGCCAGACTGAGTTATGGCTGCCCTATGTCCCACAAATAAGGGTGTACTTCTTGGGCATTCATTGCACTTTATCATAACAGCTAATTTAATCCCTGATGAGACATGAGCAGAGACCCTGTATCACCAGCACATAGGCAAGTACTTAACACATATTATTCACCCATTTAATAAATGGTATTTTGACAGGGATGAGCAAAATTGTGAGAATGGAGGAAGTAAGTGCTAGAGATAAAACATGGAGAGCATGATAAACCTGGCTGGAAATTCAGAATCAGTCCTCTTTAACTTTCAGCAGCATGTCTTTGAACCTAGAAACTTTATAAGAAGAGTTGGAGCCCAGAAGAAATAAAGAGAGAAACCGAGCTTCTGCTAGATTTGTGAGTTGCAGAGCATAAGTGCTGATTCTCTCTGTCTGTGGCCTCTTCTCTTCTGGGCCAAAGAAGCAGTGGGTTAGGGGTAGCAACAACAAAGTTCAGCCGCCCCAGGAGTCACTGCACTCTGGTGCCATCTGAACCTCTGTTTTAGACCCTGAGAGCCTGACACTCATTTGCCCCCATTAGAAAGGATGCTCACTGCAGTAGAGAATAAAATGGTTTAAGAGAGAAGTAATCCTTCCCTCCTTTATGCTTTACTCTTAACTTCAAAGTAATCAAATGTTGTTTATGCATAAAATTTTAATCCTGTCACAAATTTGTATTTTGATTTAATTTGCATATCCCATTTACTGCAAGTCAACATGAAGAGAGACTCAACTAATTTAAACCATTTTTCTCTGGGCCTGAAATCCTTTCAGAAATATTTTCCATTAGGCAACTCAATTATGTCTAATATGGCTAATGTCAGTGGATTAGAATTTTGCTTAAAGAAACTCATATTTAGAACAGTGAGAATGGGAAGGGGGTGGGAGAACAGAGAAGAGACAATAATTACCTGTCTTTGATGCTACACAGATCAATGTGTAAATCACTAAAATTCCCCAGGGAACCTTGCTGAACTGAAATGAGGTCCTTGGGCTGGTTATCAATAAAGATGAGCCTCATGCAGCCTTGGAAAGCCTTAATGGGATTTAAACATTGGGAATCGGTGAGATTGTCAGGGCACCCTGTGGGACAGAGAAAAAAAAAAATGAAGAAGAATACTGAAATGATCAGTCATTTCTTTGGTGACCTATTGATGGAGGACCTGGAGGTCTAATTATTTTGGGGCTTTTTCATTCACAGCAGTGCACGCATTTTTGTTGTAAATCCTAGCATTCTCAGAGAAGGGATGGAGTTGGTACAAAATGGGGCATACTCAATCACTGTACAGAACAGAAAAAAAATGTGTTAAAGGGAATATCAATACTATAACATTTATCTCATTCCTCTTTCTTTTCACCTATTGGTAAGCTATCCACCATTCTGTTGTGTGGTATACTTCACTCATCCCAAGGAGGCAACATATTATAATTACTTGGGAATTTTGGTTCTGTCTCAAAACACGCTTTAAATGCACAATTCAATTCTGAGTTACACTTTCAAAGGAAATTATGCTTTGGGTAAGGATGGTGGCAAAGTAATTGTCTGGTTAATTGTTAGCATTAATAGGCTTAGTTCCTGAGAAAGGTACACAAAGGAACATAACTGGAATTTTGAAGAGTTGCACAAAGCAAATCCTGGCACCAAAGGAACTAAGGGTTTAAATGCACATAGTTATAGGGCTGTAATAGCACACACGAAAGGTTAACACCATACCTTTTTAAGGAGCTTTCTTAAAAAAAAAAAAAAACTGCATTGCATACTGATTTAGCATAGCTTGCAACCAGGACATACCTGCTTCTCATTAAGACAGGTACAGAGCAACGTAGGTATATGAGTGCTTGTGCTCTTTATAAACTCCATCCCGATGGTTTTAATAGGTTCAGAGCATATGGGAATGCAAGCTTGAAAATATGGCAATAACCTATAAATAATTGGGAATTATTTCAGCCATTTCTAATAGACAGTCACTGCTGGGCTGAAGCCCAGCAGCTGGTTAATAGCTCACAGGCACACTATAAAACGAAGAGAGATGCTACACGTTCTAATTGAAGCTGTAGAGAGAATTTATGTAAGTTGACTATTATTACTCAAACTCATTTTTCACCTCCCTTAAGTTTACAGTCGACGTGTGGGGCACTTCTTTAAATACTGTTTAAATCACAGATAAATCTTCACTTTATAAACCCAGTGCCCCCTAAACTTGGGGAAGGCAGACATTTCCCCTTTGAGGCATTTTGGATGCCATCATTATTGAACATCGTTTTCCCCAGAAATAAGTACAATAATGCTTCTCTCTCTTTGTTGGTGAAACATTTCATGTGGTGCAAAAATCATGCCGTCTGTGAAATGTACCTTTGGGGTCCCCGAGAACCTTCTTCTGCAGACTTTATGCTACATTCGCTAGCATCCCTTTGCTGTCCCAACCTAGTGGGTTGTGGAGAACACAGACTTGGAGGTGTATCCTGGTCCTAATATTTATACAAGTGACTTCATCTCAGCAAACACCAGGCTTATTATCTGTGAAATGGGGCTAAGATTGCCTACCTTACAAAGTTACCCCATGAATTAAATGAGGTAAGATCCCCAAACCATTTAGAGCGAATGGAAGTTCTCCCTTCTTGGAGGAATCCACTGTCCTTGCATACAAGGGGAAGATTTAGAATGAAGGACAGAGGCCCTTCCTGGGGCCTTAAAATCAAAACACAAAAATACTGCTCTACGCTGCATCTCTTCCAGGATGCCCCGAAATGTATGCTAAATCTGCACCAAGACCATTTTGTATTTCAAAGCCTAACCACATGCCATGACATGAGAGAAGTGATTTGTAAATTCTATTTGACAGACTGCACTTTATAATTTTATCTGATACTTCCCTTCAGTTTCTTAATGGAAAAAGAATTAGCAACCTGAGAACAGGTCTAGTCCATTCCCATATTTATAAAAGTCGAAGCCCAGTTTGTCCATCCCTTGCCCTGTTGGAAGCACTGGACTATACACTTAAACTCTGACCTTATTGAAGTTTTCCAGCTCTTTGGCTCTGCTTCCCCATGTCCGAGATAAGGAAGTTCAGGGACCATCAGTGTCTTGCTCAAGGTCAGTGATGGAGTGTACTCTCAGAGACTATTTCTCTAATACCAACAGGTGACTAGGAAATTAGATACTAATATTTTAATGAAAGAAATGCCTTGAAAAAACTAAATACAAATGCACATCATCCATAAAAATATAGTGAATTCCTAATCATATATTTTTCATCCTTTCCAGTTTGCCCCATGTTTTCGTCATTAGGAAGGTCCCTAGGATTCACCTGGCAATGGAGAGAGCTGGATCTGAGTTGTCTGCCCCACTTGGAGCTACAAGTTAATGGGCCTTCTAGACCCTCCCCATGTTTAGAGGCCCACTCCCCTGACATGGCCTACAGGGATGTCGGGAAGGAAGAAACAGATAGGGGATTCAGACAGTAAAGTGGCAAAGGAATAGCCTAGAAGCGGAGCGTGCTGGTTGTGCCTTCCCACCTGGATTTTTCCTTTTGCACGTACTGCTGACCGTTGGTGCGTATTCTCCAAGTTTTCAGCTGACTTTCTCCTTCCCAATGTGATCACAGAGCTTGGCATGGCTACAAAAATCTCCTTTGGACATGTTATGTAACACCGGCTCTTATAACTATTTTTCTTTTCCTTTTTTTTTCCTCTGTACTGACCTACATAGTTCATATTTGCACAGCTGTCAGAGAGTTTTCTTCTCATTTGTGCTTGGGAGTGGGTACCCGTGGTTGTGTGTGTGTGTGCATGTGTGTGTGCGTGTGAATGGTCTAATTGACAAAGAAGAATCGAATCATCAGGGTGAAATAATTGTTCACTGCATTCTCCCTCCCTCCTTTATTTTCAAAAGGGGGAATTTACCTCCAAAGTAGTAGCTATTTCCAGAATAAATCTGCAAGCGGGTGGTGTCCTGGGCTGGGAATGCTGCATCATTATCCAGAGAGAGAGTGATGCGGTCCCTTCTGGCGTTGATGCTAACTGAATGCCACAAGCCATCATTCAAACTGCTGCCTGCAAAAGAAACAGGAAAGGCAAGCATAGGGATGATTGAGTGGGGAGGTCTGGAGCAAGTAGGGCTTATCCCCCTCACCTGCTGCGCTCCCCGTGCATCCTTGTGCTTAAACCACAAGCCCCACATTTCCACAAACTTTACCTTTCTTCCTCTGTTTATCATTTTAATTCTATTATTTTCAAAGGGTCTGAACCATGTTTGAAATGTTTGTTTTCAAAACAAAAGGGAAAACACAAAATTGTCTGTATACTACAACCAAAGGTTTTGGCCATGTGAATTGACCTCTTGATATAAATGCGGAGTAAAATGTTGAAAGGAAAAAACAAAACAAAAACAAAAAAACTTCAAAATACTTCAAAATATCCCTGGTGATTTCATCTCTGGGTGGTGGGATTATAGGCGACTTTAGTTTTCTTTTTTTTTTTTTTTTTAAGATTTTATTTATTTATTTGACACAGAGAGATACAGTGAGAGCAGGAACACAAGCAGGGGGAGTGGGAGAGGCAGAAGCAGGCTTCCCGCTGAGCAGGGAGCCCAATGCAGGGCTCGATCCTAGGACCCTGGGATCATGACCCAAGTCCAAGGCAGATGCTTAACGACGGAGCCACCCAGGTGCCCCGCGACTTTAGTTTTCTTACAGTTTTCCACAAATGTCTTATCTGCATTTTTTAGGAAAAAATAAACTGTTCTTAAAGGCAAAAGTAGATGAAGAATGCTAAATTCTAATGACGTGCCAGTCAGAGACAGCCTCTCATCTGAGAGAAGTAACAGACCAGTTCAATCCCAACATTTTTCTTTAACTAATTAGGTGACACTGACTGAGTTATGTACCTTCCTTGAACTCTGGCTTTATCATCTTCAAAGATCATCATTCCTACTCTGTGATCGCTAAAAGGATCAACTGAAATCAGGCAGGGAAGTTCCTAGGACAGTTACAGGCATAGTAGGTGTTTTGTTGCTGTTGTTGTTTTTTTAATTTTATTTATTATTTATTTATTTATTTATTTATTTATTTATTTATTGAGAGAGAGAGTAGAGGGGCAGAGAGGGAGAAAGAATCTGAAGCAGACTCCTCACTAAGCACGGAGCCCAAAGAAAGGCTCTGATCCCACGACCCTGAGATCACAACCTGAGCCAAACCCAAGAGTCTGGCGCTTAGCCAACTGAGCCACCCAGGCACCCCTATAGTAGGTATTTATTACAAGTTAATTCCTCCCTTGTTCTCATGCCCCAGATGTCTTTGGTGTGTACTACCCTGCTGGCCTATCTGATTGAGAAAGCTGATCTGGGAATTTGTCATGAAGATTGGGACTATTTCCTTCTACAAAGTGTATATCTATTCAGACTGTCAGGTACCAAGTCCTTGCTGAAGGAAACACAGTCTTATTTACTAGTCCAGTCCCAAAGATGTGTCTGTGAGAAAAGCACATTGACACACATTTTCATTCAATAGACATCTGTTGTGCCCTGCTATGTGTTGAGTGGCCTTCCTATTCTTATTGCCTCAGTTTTCTTCCCGGCAAAATGGGGAAAATGATTGTACTTATACACTCTTGTGAAAATTATACAGTAGTTAATACAGTAGGGCATGCAGAATAGTTCATGTCACATCATAAGTAGACAATGATGTTAGCTAAAACAAGTGAACAGAACAGCAACTGCAAAATGGTCCCTCCCATCTGGAAGTGTGGAGAGAAACATCAGATGGTGTCTATAGTCTCTTGATAATGGAAGAGATGTATGCAATAAGGATTGGAATACTGTCCTTTGAGTTCAGGGTAGTGGGATAAACAAAGAAGCAAGCAAAAAACAACACTTGCTATTTTGGGTGGTGCAGTAATATGGGAGCAGAGAAGAAAGAAAGCCTAAGTAATGGCATGCGAGGATCCCAAAAAGGCTTCACAGCAGAGATGGTGACAGTTCAGGGAAGTTCTGAAAAATGCACAAGAGCTCTCTACTCATACAGCTAGAGTCCAGGAGACAGAGAGACTGTACAAAAAGGCAAAGGTCTGGAATGAGAAGCAGGAGGGAACAATAGGAGGACAAGTGAGAGAGTATCCAATCACCCAGGGGCCTGGAATGCCAAACAAAGGAATGAGTTTCCATAATTTCTTTGGATAAATGATTCTGGAGAGTGCTTTATTCAATCCAATTCCATCAGAACCTTTGGGGATGGATGGGACCCTAGGCATCTGAATTTTTTAAAAGCTCCCTGGGTGATTCTAATATATGGGTAGAAATGAAAATCACTGCTTTAGAACAATGGGAGTCCATGAGGGGTCCTTAGCATGGGAACGATCTGGCAGGAGGTACATATCCAAGGACTCCGGTGGCAGAGGACAGCTGGGAGGAATCAAGGCTGGAAGCAGAACTGATGGGGTCTCCTGCTAGCACTGGCCCCAGGAGACAGAATGATGAGAGTTTTAGCCAAAGTAGCAGCAGTGCAAATGCAGAGCAAGATGGATTAAGAACTATTCCTGGAGGTAAAAGGGATCAGATTTAGTAGAGCCTACTGGAGCAGTCCCTAAGAAACCAGCCGGGAAGCAAGCACTGAAAATCAAAGCCGAGGTCTGCAGGGCTTCTCAGAACAGTTGCTGAAGAGCTTATGCCCCTGAGCCCTCAGGTGGTTGGAGAAGCTGCCCAGGGAGAAGCACAGCACCAGGCTGGGGCCCAGCTGCATTGCACCAGGGCAGCTGTGCCCCATCTGCTCACAACAGGCCAGATGTAAGGGACCCTCCTGCATTTCCAGCCATCTCCCTAGCAGTCTTTGCTGCAGCCCTGAACATCTGCTTGGGGTGAACCCAGGGGCTGCTCAACCTGGCGGCCTTACTTCCTCCCAAAAGCCAGAGTTTTGGTCCTAACCACAGGGACTCTGCTAATGAGGTAGAGGCTCTGTCAGGTGTTTCCTGGTGATGAACATTTGACTTCTGGCAGGGGCATTTCGGGGGCATAGCCAGCTGTGGGTCTTTACTTCTTTTTACTCTCATTTGCATCCTGATTGAAATGTATTTGCATAATATAGGAGACTGCATCTGCAGACAAACTATAGACTGTGTGAAAAGGAGTCAGTAACTAATTCAACTTAGAGGATTTAAAAAATAGCCCCTAAGGGCCCAGCGCCCTGCTAAGCATCAGGGCTAAAGTAAAGAAGGAAACGGAGGCCAAGGGGAGAGTTGCACCTAATCAGAGATAGACCCTCTCCTCCTTTTACAGATGAAAGTGGCCTAAAGGAAGAAGTCTGATCCACGTGAGTGGCAGGGCCAGAGCACTGGCCTTTGTGTTCTAATTCTGGGTCCCCTCCCCTTTCCACCTCACTATCTAGTCGCTCTCTTTACATTGTTATTAATGAGAGTTTGCTTAGTTTTCTTTTTCCTTTTTTCTTTTCTTTCTTTTTTTTTTTTTTCTTTCTTTTTCTTTTCTGGTCTGCTTTTCCTTTTGGTTTGATCTTTTTTGTCTTTTCCTCCATGGTCCTGAGTCCCTGAAGGGGGAACCCGTGTGAAGTCTTCACTCTTCTGAAGAAAACTATTAGGGCAGTAGTTCCTGATGCTGACCACACAAAGGGTGCACCTGGGGAGCTTCTGAAAAGACAAGTCCCTGGGCCTCACACCAGGTTAATTAAGGCAGGCTTCAGGGTAGCCCCAGACCTTGGAAGTTTCAAAGATCCCCAGAGAGTCCCTTGTGCAGCCTGAGTTAACAAGTACACCATTTGAGGTTTCCAAAGAGGAAGAAAAGAAGCTGGGAAAAACAAGGCTGGCTTTAGAGGAGCTGAGCTGGGAACAGATTCCAAGGCAAGCAAAATGACATATTTCCTTCTAAAAATCTGCTTTCTGCTTGGGTCCTCCTTCCCACTTCATTCTGTTAATAGCTATAGATAGAAAGATAGACGATAGAAAGACAGATAGATAGATGATAGATATACATAGATATGGATATAGATATATAGATAGATATAGATATAGATATAAAATATATACAAAATAACAGCACTAGAAATTCTTCAAGGTTTAGTTTCTAATAATTCTCTTTTTAATGGTAAAGGTTTAAGTGCTATTAATTATTCAGAAATTAGGGGAAAACCTCCCTGAGACAAAAAAGTTCTGAAACAACAGAAGTTTTCAGTGGAGAGAATGGGGAAGCACTAGCTCTGAGGCCAGGAACACCTGATGGGCAAAAGCCCCTGGTGGTAGAATGATGTAATTAGGGCCACTTTGGAGTTCTAGACATTCATAAGGTTTAGGAGCCCAGGCTTAAAATGTGGGATTTGGTTTCTGGAAAGATTGTTGGATGATGACAAATATAAATTTTCTGACCTATAAGTGATGTCAAATAATATTTGTCACCTCCCAGACAAAGAATAAAAACCAATATACCAAGTTAGTGGATAAAGAGGGAAACAGGCAACTTCATATATTGTTGTAGGCAACATAATTTTGTGCTTCTTTCTAGAAGGCAAAATACCAAACAACATCAAAAAACAAAACAAAACATAAGGCCCTAAAAATATCATACCTCATTTCCCATAAATTTTATTCTGAAGAATTAATCCTAAAATAGTACAAGAGCTGCAGCCAAGATTTACAGTGAAAAGAGTTCATGATGCCATTATTTCTAAGAGCAAAATTTCACAACCCCCAATATTTCCAGGTTAGCTAAATCAAACATGGTATATTTAATAATATGAAATGTAATATAGTCATTAAAAATTATAATGTCCAAGAATGCAAATGACATCTTGATAAGTGGAAAATCTCAGACTAAATAGTATATGTGGTTATCGTTTCCGTTTTGTTAAAAATTATTACAAATAGAAAATACTAGAATGACCTGGAATGATTAGTTTTTTTTTTGTTTTTTTTTCTTATAGAGAGTAGTTGAATTTTCAGTTTCTAAAAGCAAAATGTACAACTTTTATGATTATTTTTTTAAGACTAACAAACTGTTTAAGTTGAGATAAAGGATAAGAAATATTTTCATTCTATCCCAAATATCTGCGATGTGC